TATATAAAAATGTCAAGCTAAATATGATCAATTTAACAGGTCAAATAATTTTAATTAATTCTGGGAACCGATGAGAAGATACATTAAGTTCATGGATTCATGCAACCGAAAAGGTTTTTAAAATTCAAATCACTATGGTATTATTGTACAATATTTCATAGATAAACAAATGAAAATTAAAGAATACAAAGATCAGAACAATTCTGAATTGGACTAGACTTTTAAAGTGAAACACGAACACGAGACTGAAAGTCTGAAAGTTTCATTGTAAAGTGCAGTAAGATCCGAACAATAGTCCGATGTAGTTCCATTGTTTGTTTGTTCCGTTTCTAGGGAAATTGGAGTAGAGATGAACTTGCTGGATAAGACATATTTTTTCATTGGAGTTCTTATAAATACTTTTAAAGTATAATGTAGGTAGACATTTTAATTTTGAACCGCTATCCCCAACCCGCTTGGGTTATTGTTAGTGGTGATTACAGCAGAACCCTCTTTTACAAAGGAGGTCCCATAGCACAGCAATCGATTGTCACTGCGGCTGCAGATGATGAAAATTAATAAATGTCTTTAAAATATGTATTATGTTTATTTTTATTCAAAATAAACTGTTGCCTGCGACTTCGTCCGCCTAGAATATGAATTTTAGAACATAACTTTTTTGTTTCAATTTTCCAGAATAAAAGTAGTTCCTCATATTACTTCTTAGTACATCAGATACCTTACAATAAAAATCTTGCAATATCGTTACAGCCAATCCAGAGATTAGCGTATGTGTATCGTATGTATATTCATATGCATGTAGTAAAAAGCGGTTATTTTAATATTACAAACAGACACACCAATTTTATTTATCTGTAAGATGTCTATAGTTTTTGCATCACCAAAGGTTGAGAGATGAAAATGCCTAGGGCACGAAGTTTGTCGTATGAGTAGGTATTATTGTAGAAAAATTATTTTGCAAGCGTATTTTAGTATTTGGTTATTAAAAGCTGAACCAGAGCCGTATTATACCTGAACCCAAATTAGGGCTAGTGCCTAGGGCTCCAGGTTCGATATTCGGGTGCTCATAATTATATTGACAAAAGTTAGGACCGCCTATGAGGTGCTTCTTTAGGGCGGTCTCAGACTTTATTTCGCCGCTGAGCTGAACGTGTAGGCCAATATCATGATTTTTACTTCTAAAGAAAAAGAATTTCATACTATTATGCATATTTGTCCTTTTTAAACACGATTATAAATCTTAAAGTACCTAACTGTATATAAATGACTATATAATTTTATTAGGTAAAACTCAAAATAAGTAAGTAAATATAATGTTTGTAGTTAAAACTCGTAATAAGTAAGTAAATTATTAACTTGTCATGACGTCATCGTAAAAATTTACAAAATGTACCGGTTACAATAATTGTTATGTTTTTTCTTAATTATATTAGTAAAAATTATATTATACACGTGCACCTTTTTTGTAATTACATTCTCATTAAATAAAAAGAATTATTTACGACTACACTCAGTTAATAATCACACTAAACTTTTATACGTAATAGGGAATTGTTTTGAGTAACAATGATTTTAAATAGTACCTATAGGTTCGTTATAATATATGACAAATATAGTTGAACTACATGAAAAAACACAAAACATTCTCACACACAACGTAGACTACATAAGATATATTTGTAAACAACTACCACAGACAAAGCCATGGTACCACAACAAGTCTAGAATAATACATTCAAAGGCAGCACTCAGTAATAAAACATATAAGACACTTGAGGAATTTCCAATTCCCCTGTAGATGCTAACATTCAATAAGTATTTGCATACGTAGGTTTGTACCCGACCTGTATAAATAGTGTCTAGTTCACTCTCAACCAGGTTTCAGTTATTCTTCGCAGCGTCTCCCACGAGCTGAGCTAGACACAATTGTGAATAGAAGAATGTGTCTTTGTCGTCGGACATATCTACCTACATTATATTAGATGGGCAGGTCTTTTCTCTCGTTATTTGTTTGTAGGTTTTTTTAGAAGATGTTAAAAGCAGGATACCGTAATCAATCTAATTGATTTGTCCCGAAAATTTTTCCATTTTTGTCCTCACAAATTTTGAAAATTAATATAAATAGCAATTTTGCACCAGCAGTAAAAGCCTATAGCTGCTTTCTCCAATTTCTTGGTCTATTTTTTTAATTTAAGAGAATAAGTTCCTTATTGACTATATAAAGAAATCAAAATAAAGTTAATAATATAAAAATAACAACAAAAAGGAGCGATATATCACCTAATCGATGAAATTATCTAAACAAACATGAATTTGATTTCTTTATAGGTAATACAGCTACTTTAGACTGAATTAATGTTGAATTATGATAATACATATAATGAATGCGAATTTTATCTACAAACCTAAATTATTGCGTTGACAACAATATTACATATCCCTTTTGTTTTTCCCCGTAGGTACAATACAATTTTATATTTACTTTGAGACTATTTTGAAATCAGGATAAAAGTAAAATAAAAACATTTGATCAAATATGACAACTGGTTGATGGCAGAATAGATCTCACTTAAAGTATGTTGGCCAAAATATTAATATCATATAAAATAAGTTCATTAATGTGTAAATATCCCATTAGACTAGCAATTAACTTAATCATCAATATCTTCACGTTTAGCAAGCGGTTTGGAGATCACAATTGAAAATAAACAGGTATATCAGAGAACACTGCTGCCGAGAACCTAAAATAACATCATTTATCCCCGAATATGTGCAGAGGTGCACATTACGGCACTTAACAACGTAACACCCACTTTTCACTATTTAAATTATGAGTCCCATGTAATATAGGGTGAGTCTATTACCGTCTACGGGGCACAATTCCAAGCTCCGTAAATACTACTGAGAAATTTTTAAAACGCCCAATAGTACTGATGTCAGTTCTTTGTTAAATTATATAAAGTCCCTTAAATGACCTATTGATTCGCTGGAAGAGTAGGGCTGTGACAAATGTAGTCTATTCTGCCACAAGGGTGACTAACAATTTAAATAAAATAAAAAGTCTGAATTTTGCAAAACTTAAGACTTAGATTATAATTTTATATTGGAAAAGTGTTTGCCGATTATCATTCTATAACTCTACCGAACTAGCAATTTGCCGAGAAAAATAAAACGCATCTGACGCCGCGCTGCGCCGGTATGCGGAGGATTTTTCGGCGCATTTAAAATGTGCTCATAAAATCAGTCCGGTAAAAATATGACACGACTTCTATTATAAACCATAGTATATTCTTTATACTATGGTTAAACCTTCAAACTGAATTAATACTATAAATAGGTTTAGGTATACTATTTAAATTAAATTTGACGATTAACTAATGGTATTTTTGTTAGTTTTCGTTTTATCTTTTATTATTCACTGTTTGAGTTAATTTTAAGTTGTACCTCTATATAATTTATTCATAAATATAATTATTATTAAAACTTAGTATTTGTAAATAAAAGGTTTATACCTATACGTTATTTAACGTTTAAAGTTTATCTTCTAGAACGTTAGTCCTTCGTACGTCGATCCTTTAAATAATAATTTAATAAGTATTTTATCTGTAAAGAACAATAAGTAATGGTCTTCGTATTCAACGTGTATCAAATTCAAAATACAAACAATAGAATAAATACAGAAAGTTAAAAATAATCATTTTCATCAATCAATGTTATTAATCGTAATTACTTTAATCATTTACCTGCAGCCAGAACGTGATTCATTAGGCGTATCCCTATCTATATGACTCAGAACCCACTTGATATACAGACAGATACCTTCTATATATAAAGTATAAAATTAAATTATACACAATAATAAATAGTATTTTCCAAAATTTATCTTCTCTAGATATCTTTTCATTGATGTCGAATTTGATGATTTAACGGCGTCGCGTTACACATATTTTATGATTATATGAAAGAAGGAAAGCTTGAAAATTTGTTCAATGAAAATTCATTTAGTTTATCTTTATAGTAAAATTACGTATTTGAAGATATTACTTGTCTAATTTTATTATTGCGTGTTATAGATAGAGATACCTATAAGTTTGTTTATCTATATGTATCAAACACTAGTTTTTACCAACGGTTTGTCTTTTTCTTTCTAGAAATCAGTTTAATGTGATATTGCATTGTCAACAAATATCTTTAAAGAATTGAACAATAAAATATCAAAAAATGTCTGAGTTCGTATTATATAAATAAAGACAAACAAACTAACTCTTCGACTTTATTATATTCAATAGGGATTCTGAACAAATGCAAATCGTCAATAGATGCAATATAAAACAAAAACTTTGAGCGCGACGCTGCATTTGATGTAGCGCATCCAAAGTTCCCAGACATCTTAAACTCGTCTACGTTATCCGTATAAACTACGTAAGTTAACCAACGAATAAAATTTAGAATTTGTAGTTTAGTAGCATTATATTACTAACTTGAATACTAGGATTTGGCACACTTTTATCTCGGAAGAATCTCTCGAATACCCGCTATCGAATCTTGGTCCTAACTTTCAAACTATGTTACTATAAAACTGAAACTTTAGCGTGCACTATCTATTTAAAATACATAGACTGGTTAAAAATAAAGTATTGTATTTCTTGGATCTTATCTTTTAAAGAGATTACCTATATATATGAGATAACAGAAATATAATTGGCGCATAAATACAGCGGGCTTTCATTAACACATTTGGATTTATACAATTTATATCTGCAGTGTGTTATGTGACGCTGTAAAATTTTGTAGGCTGCCATTATACAGTTAGCAGTTAATTAAAATTATCGATTTCATGTTCATATTGCTAAAATGAAAGGTGCAGTTAAAATTTAAAATGTTGAAATTAATCGGGAATTTGCGCTAACGAATTTATACTGTAGTAAAATCCACTTACTGGATGTAATGAGTTAATAAAATCGTGTTAAAGTTATTTTTTTATTTTTATTCCAGAAAATATGCCTCCTCAAGGGCAAACTGGTGGCTCCTGGGTCCTGTATGAAACAGATGCTGTGAACGTGGACACAGAGGCCCCGGTTATCGTACCTCCATCGGCCGAAAAAAGGGAATGGAAGATTGTATGGAGAAACGTCATCCTGATGGGATTGCTCCACATTGGAGGAGTTTATGGAGCATACCTCTTCCTTACTACAGCTATGTGGCGAACGAGTTTATTTGGTAAGTTTGCAAATATATCTTTTTTCTTGAGTTTTAAGAAAACATTACCCCACATAAGATACTCAGATCCAAAACAACAATTTGTGATCATCAAAATAATATTGGACACTTTACACGTTGCGCAGCAGCCGGTCTAGCCAGCCACTGCGCCAACTGTGTAGTCTACGAACAATATCCTCCTTTCTACATTTTCTTCGCTTAACACGTTCACTAAGTAAGGTTTCAGATTTCGGTGTTAGGTACACCAGAACCACGTAGTATATTGATGTGACCACAATAGATTTTAGACCTTCGTTTAAAAATAATAAAGTTGAAACTTAATAAAGTACAAGTATATATTTATATAAATAAAGTACAAATACAGTACTTACGCAAATTAGTTTTAAAATCTATATGCACACAAAAAAACAAGATTTATTAAAACACGACGGGTCCGTGACGTAAAATTAAAGTTGTACACCGTGAAACAAAGATATTTTGTTTCATTAAACATGTTTTGGTCTGGTGCGTATGAACGTACAAAGATTGTTTTAGAATAATTTTGAAAATGGCGTCGGTCACCTTAAAACATCTTGAATTCTCACTCGAGTCCGAATAATTCAAAGAAAGATAAGATGAGTTTAGATTACACTGTTTTTGCCTGGCTTGTCGGGACCTGGCTCGTTCTTGCCCAATCGTATTTACTGGCTTTTGACTACACCGTATTTACATAGATTCCATTTTTATGAAATACTTAATTGCCACATTATCCAACATTTGATTTAAAAACAGGTCTGCTAAAACATTGCATTCAATTACAAAAAAAAAAAACGTTTGATCATCAGTGATACTATAAAAAAACACACAATAATTTTGTTTCACCAAAAAATCAATGGTGTTATATACAGTTTTCAATTGTTTTGAACAATTCCTATTCTCAGACGATGTATCTGCATTCTGCATAATTTGTCAAATCCTGATCTTCTTCCAGGATAATTATAATTAAAGTTGTAATAATTAATATTATTTGTTTACAGCTGTGTTCTTGTACATATGCTCTGGTCTGGGCATCACCGCCGGTGCGCACAGGCTATGGGCTCACAAGTCATACAAAGCTCGCCTGCCACTGCGAATTCTTCTTACTCTCTTCAATACCTTGGCCTTCCAAGTAAGTTTTAATTTAAACCTTATTACTATAAGTATACGGATTATGGTCATTGTTTAAGATATCTTGGAACAATTAATAAAGTCCCTGGAAGTACCCATAGTTGCAAGTTAAATTCGATAGCGGCTAGTGTTCTTTTACTTGCGTTGTGGGGTGTTAACAAAACTTGAAGAAAGTGTCATATTATTGAAATGGTATCTACCACATACCTACTTAAATTCCTCTAAATATGAGATCCATTTTTTCTACCTATAGGGCAATTAATAATAAAAAGTTTCCATTAGATTCCATTACAGCTAAATATTTAGTCTTATTATTATACACTAGGGAAGTGAGAACTCTCGTAAATTATTGTTAAAGTCATTCGATTAAGTTATTACTTTTCATTCTATGTACACTTTTTCAATTAATTTCTATCTATCAGACAGGCCGTAAGCTTCTTACCACTTAAGTCACAAAAAACCTACCGGAACTTTTTTGTGCATATAATTCGTCACCAAAAGTGACTTTATAAATGATAATTCCTTGTCAAAACGTTTCAACTTATTGCTAAGAAAAAAGACGTTTGTCATAAATCACGTGTTTTTTAATATTTATCCGTTTTATAGAACAAACACGTGCCTAGTACATACTAGATCACTAAGGTTAGAACGCATAGAAATTGTGTGCGTCAACGATAAGATTTTACGCACTTACCACGTCACGATATTTCTATCAAACCAAGGAAATTATTGGAAACTTTAAAGTCACCTTCAAATAGTTATACAGGTCTAAAATTGGAATGATATGACCCAGAGTCTATATTTAAAGTCGGTTTTCGTATTTTTCACGATCCGTTTACCAAAATTGATAGCTTAACACCTACGCCTAAAACATTTAAAAAGATATTTTGTCTAATGTATCAAATAATGGATATTTTTTGTGTTCTTATGCAATTTACTAAAGTGACTGGACAGTTTATTATATCGGTAAAGTTTTGTTTATTTCAAATTTTGAGTTTTTGGGGGAATATTAGAGTTAAAACTGAGTTAATGTACCTACTTAAAATTGCATTTTTCTCGGATAAAGACCTACACTTATTTCAGAAATTGGTTATTACATTAAAACAAGAGAATCCGCCTTCTTGCGATGATTGCACAAATTACCTTTACATTGTTTCAACGACAAAAAATTAAGAAAACAACTCCTAACACAGTATTGCCGCGTTCATTACACTTTAACCGTCTCTGCTCAATTAAAACACCACATTGATAAATTAAAACATTAATTTACCTAACTAAATTAATCTATGTTCCAATCTTGCATGAACATTGAACATGTGCATACCACGCGTGAGAATCTTGTTATCTCGACCACCTCTTGACACCATTATCAATGACTACCCTTTGGCCCTAATTACATTATCAGTCACACGGCAGCCTATAGATCTGCGTGATCGATCACTAGTACTTTCTATAATAAAATAAACATTATTTTATTAGCAGTAATTTGCCGAATATTAACTGTGGCATACCCGTTATAATATAAACAATATTAAATGTATCGTGATAACTTCGTGCAATGAAATGAGTTTCGTTAATTAATTTTATATCATAACTGAAGTATTATTAGGTGTATTTTAGATCGTTGGTTTCAGTAATTGAAACTAAGACAGTTTGTCTTGTTTGAATCTTGAGCTTAGAAAGTTGTAACTAGAAAAATATGTTCATCTTTATGAAGTAAATCTTAAGAATAAGATGTTGAAATTGATATGGAATAAACAATAGATAAAAATGAAAATGAAGGAAAACTTTCATTTAATATTATAATATCATTACCTAAGAAATCAATATTTAATATTAGCAATTGATACGCAAAAGGTTAATGAGGTATTTAAGTACATGAATTTCAAGCGTGATTTGTGTCAAAGCGTGCATAAAAACAAAGTATCTACGTAAGAAATGTAATCAAAAAGGACTGATAATATTGTTTTTCAGCACGTGGAATATTTTTATCAATATAATAGACATAAATCCCTACTAGATCTTTTTAGGTTTTCCCTTGACACGAAGATAGTTAAAAATCTGGTATAAATCTATTATTAATTAAGATAATCGCAGAGATAATGATTTTTATCAGTATAATATGTTTTGCAATGAAATCGGCAAACAATGACAAGTGGTATTCGCAATACATTCAGCACGTGTTTAAGGAATGTGATAACGTTAAAGTTTTGGAATTGTTTCGACTGATAACAAATGTTTGGACAAATTATACTTCAGTGGTAGGGAAAAAATTCTAATCAACCCCCTATGTGGCCTCCTTTTAATCGTAATTCTCAGAGAGGCTTTCCATAAATTGACATGGACCAATAGCAATACGACTGTGAATAAAAAAATATTTTCAAATACTCTTTCTCTTCAAATTATAAATGTACTTTTTTCAATTTATAAATGTTCTTTTAACTTTGTTCCTAGGATGCCGTAATCGACTGGGCCCGCGATCATCGGATGCATCACAAGTACTCCGAAACCGATGCTGATCCTCACAATGCGACTCGAGGCTTTTTCTTCTCCCACGTCGGATGGCTGCTGGTCAGGAAACACCCGCAGATCAAGGCTAAAGGACACACTATTGACCTGAGCGATCTTAAGAATGATCCCATTCTGCGCTTCCAAAAGAAGTAAGATGTCTATAATATTTATAAAACTTTACTTGATAATCCAAAATGTGAAAATGTTTTACTCAAATAGTTACTTTTCTTCGAAAAAACTTTTTATGCCTTGTATTAAAACTAATGTTTTTGTTTTAGACACTATCTGATCCTTATGCCTCTGGTCTGCTTCATCCTGCCGTGCTACATCCCGACCCTGTGGGGCGAATCTCTGTGGAATGCATACTTCGTGTGCTCCATCTTTCGTTACGTCTACGTATTGAACGTGACTTGGCTGGTGAACTCCGCTGCCCACCTGTGGGGCGCCAAGCCTTACGATAAGAACATCAACCCGGTGGAAACCAAACCCGTCTCCCTCGTGGTGCTCGGCGAAGGATTCCACAACTATCATCACACTTTCCCTTGGGACTACAAGACCGCTGAACTCGGAGACTACTCCCTCAACCTTACCAAATTGTTCATAGATTTCATGGCCGCTATCGGATGGGCATATGACCTCAAGACTGTATCTTCGGATGTTATCCAGAAACGCGTGAAGAGAACCGGTGACGGTAGCCACGCGGTGTGGGGCTGGGACGACCACGAGGTACATCAGGAGGACAAGGAATTAGCTGCAATTATTAACCCAGACAAGACTGAATAATCCAACCAGCCATTTGATCAAACTCCATTAGATCGAAGGGTGTATTTGTATTATACCAAATGTGAGGGAAATGTGATACCACTAATATTATTTATTTTATTTATAATTCGCATTGATAATGGTTATCAAGACTTTTAGATTTAATTCTTAGATTTTAAACACACGATGCCCATCTGTTTTTTGTAGACAGAATACAATAAATAATCATAAAAAAACCATTTGTTTTACATCATTACCTGTGTCACTCTTTTACTGTGTACATATATTATGTAACTCCTTAATGTAGTGTCTGTCTGAAGGTATTTTAAAGTAAAATTCTCGTACTTAAGCGTGGGCTTATTGAGTCACGTATGTATGATGAATTATTGTAAAAAATCTATAAAGCCACTTATCTCGTTTGCAAAAAAACTGGTCAGTTACCTTCCGCTTAAAAAATCACAACACACATAATTAGGTAGTTCTTTAACTCGTGTCATAGTTCAAACATGACCCATAATTGGATAACTTTTCGAGCACAGACAGTTTGAAACTATAATACATATTTCTTATCACTCTATTATATTAAACAACCGACCTTCAATACTTGATACATCAGGTTTTTATTACACTATTTGTCTCTCGAGTGAATCACGCAATATTTCTTTAAATCATTTTAAGATTTGCATAACAACAATAAGATATTTTGTTTACATTACAATTTATCTTCCAAGTCCACGTGTTTTAAGAATGTACTTACATCATCTTGTATGTTCGTACCTATTTAAAGATTGCATTTCCTACAAAATCCGAAATATGGAAATTCGCCAAAGAATTAGAGTCACCGACGTAGCTCGAAAAATCTTCTGACTGAAGTGAAAATTGGCAGACCACGTCGCTCGACAGAGTAATGGTAGATGGGCTAGGAAATTTCTTGAGTGGAGACCACGGATCGGAAATCGAAGCGTGGGCAGGCCTCCCGCTAGGCGGGCCGACGACATCGCCAGAGTTGCGAGGAGCCTGTGGGTGCAGGTTGCTAGTTGCTGTTCGACGTAGAAGACTAAGGGGGGAGGCCTATGTTCATCAGTGGACGTCTTCCGGCTGTTGATGATGATGATTTCCTACAGAGATAAGTTGTGATAGAAGAAGTTACAAAAACCTTATAATTTTGGCATTAAAATTGGTCCAGTACCACTATCTACCATACCTACTAGTAAGGAGTTTGGATGATCAACGTATAGGGATAACTACCCAATATATCCAATCTCTAAATTTCACATCATCATCATCATCAGCGCGTGTTCGTCCACTGCTGTACAAAGATCTCTCCAATGGCACCCTACACTACGTTTGGCTAGTCGCAATCTCCACTCTAGAATACGTATGAAATAAACTTCACTACTGAGTTTTCGAAAAACCGATAATTTCATACAAGTTTACTACTACTCGAACCGAAAATTTAACTGGAGACCTCAAAGTCTTCACCTTTATTTTTTACGTTCTCAGGAAGCATAAGGCATTCTAAACTGTTTTGGTTATATACCTATAAAAATACCTAAGCACGCTGTGGTTTAAACAATAGGATACTGTGTCATAGTTGCTATTTAGGTACCAGTCACCGTCATATGAAGGTAAATAAAATGTATTTTTAAGCGACTTTGTTGTAATCATGGGTTCAACAGTCAACAAAGGTTACATACTACGTAATCCACCATAAGATTATAACCTTCATGCCCTTTAAAAATCACACACCTATAATGCGCTTGTGTTTTGTTTTAGTTCAGAACAATGTATATACAGAGAATGCACAGCACATAGTGGCGCAATTTCTCAACTTTATCATTTTGTTTTATTCATATAAAGTTAGTTTTTCAAAAATCTGTCACACCACGTATAATAAATACCCTAACATGTTTTCACCAGTGATGTTACGAGTCTTATGTCAAGTAAAATTAGTAAAAAGTGAGTGAGATATTGTCGTTCTCTAAGCACAACTCCAGATTCAATATTATAGTTAAGATGAGAAAACATATCATATTCTAGATTCAAAGCCGAGCTTGCTAGGCAGTTCCTTTACCGACCACTGATTCCTTCAAAAAGTATTATAGATAAATACTATAAAAACGTACGGACATTTATGTTATCATTTGATAATATGAAATTGCATTATATTATAATTAAAGTAAAAAAACATTAAAGTTAAAAAAAATTAAAAAGCCAATTAATATTTTTATTGTTTCGTATCTAACAACCCACTTGTTGCTTTGATACACGGGTATTCAACAGGTATATAAAAATTCGGGTAGCCATAGGTGGAGCCGATTCCTTACCGGTTTATCCCTTTATCGCTTTATCCCATGAAATAATATTTTGTGTTGTTCTATAATACGCTACGCTTAATTAGAACGAGTCTATATAAACAGGCACATTCCCAAATTCCATAACAGTTTTTAAACTAAAAAGAAAAGGTTATAAGTATACACCTTTATAGTTCCATAAACGTAGCCAAGTACGAAGCCCTGTCATTGTTGATTAATTGTGTAAGGTGGGCGAGCCAGGTTGATGACATGCATTATGATTATGACATTCGACACAACAAGGGCCACTCACCATATTAAACTAAAGTGTAACACTAATACACGTGTTTTTATCAACGTAAAGCGTGTAAAATATTTTTGTGGCTGGATCTGGCTGGCTGGAGGAATACCGAAAACTTTTTTATTACTGGCTTTTGCTGATTTGGCTGACCAATAAAGAGCAACAAAACCTATCGGCAATTAAAACCAAAAGAATTTCCTAAAAATAACTAGAAACGAAACGATTCGTTATTGATGAAACAACGAATAATACCTTATGTCATTGAGCATTCTTCTACAAAACTTATAATATTTTTCCTGAACATGAAATTTAGAATCCTATGATAAATTACGTCAGTTGTTAGAAATCCAAATGGATAGAATCCAAATAAAATCGATAAAGATTACATGGATTACATATTTAATGACGCGGATCTGCTAAAACTACACTGCATTTTAAGGGACAAGGTATTTTTTGCCCTCTACAATACGTACTTATGAAAGTCATAAAAATCTGGTGAAAAGTTAGTGCTTACCCTCCCAGCTACCTACAGAGCAGAAACGGTATCATTTTATATGACATAATGTGCAATTATCTTCTTCTTCTCGGTCGTTCTTTTCATTCCTGAAGGTTGTGTCTAGTCTGGTGCATGCGTCACTTGATATACAACCCTCCTGCAAGCGCCTCAGTCTTTTGCAGCCTTTATAGCTTTTGGAACTGTCAGGCCGGTGGGGTTCTTCGCAACATCCTGCCCACGGGTAGGTGAACGACCGCGTGGTCTTATCCCGTTAACCTGACCAACAACCACCTGCTTTTCTAGGGTTTCTACGAATACTGTGACACAATCGGTAAGTATTCGTTGCTTCATTGCAATATACAATTATATGTAAGTTTAATGTTTGAATGGCTATCACTATCCATCACTGTTTCGTAACTTATTATTTATTTTTATTTGTCATACCGAAGCATCGAGGATAAAATATTTCAAAACTTCAAATAGCGTTTATACATTTAAGTATATTATTATCTTTGCGTTTCGGAATTTGCTAAAAACAAAACTACTTACCTACGTAGGCAAAAAAGTAGTTTTCATAAATCACTGCTTCATCTTTTCGGTGGTTTCATACAGAAATTGTTAGCATTAAGAAATCCTAATGCTAATAACTTGTTAATCCTAATGCTAAAAAACGACATTTTAACACGAGCTTGCCATTAAATTATTGAATCAAATAGTAAGTATAACCAGTAATATCATATCCATTTAGTTACGCCAAAAAATGGGACAAAAACAAAATTATATCACGGAATGTGTCAGTGTAATACAACCTCAACAAAAGTCATCATTTCATCAGACAAAAACTAGACGTAAACGAAGAGATTCTCCTCGCGTGTATATTATAACGCTGCGTTCTACAACAAGCTGTAATTTCAATTAGGGGTGACCATGTGTCTGCACTGTATGGTTGCCGCCAATTTGACCGCTTGTTTAGATCAACTCAATTACTTTCATATTCAGGGTGTATGTTTTAAAGGCTACTGTTTTTGTATTTTATTGTTATTTTTAAGAGTTTTTTTTTTTAGAATAGCACCGCTTATTTTTTAATGGTTTTGTTTAAAAAACATGTACAACACACATTAAAGTGAAATACAAGAAAGTTAGGTCATCAGTATCGTTCTGATTTATCTAATGTTATGCAAATCGGCGATCAGAAATATATGTATCAAACGTTGCAGAGGATACATAAATTAATTTTATCATTTCACTGAATCGACTTACCAAACACTAACGTTCTCCTAATTTCTTTGAGTAACATCTGCCCTAGTCTTTTAAAAAGCACTTTGATATAAAACACATACAATTAAAAATTGAAAAATAAGTAACTACGTCCGAAAAGTGACTTAAACGTCTAAAAATAAATACCTATCCAGTTTAATATGATGTTATTTGCCATAAAGTAAAATCTAATTCACTTTCCCGGGTTTTGTGCAGGGGTGGTAAAGATCAAAATCGATTTAGCGTAATCGAACTCTGTAATAACAATAAAGGAATGTTTTAGGGCACCGATATATTTTTTATCACCTCTCTGCATCGCTGTAAATGTGCCACGCTGTAGGTGAAAATTTGGACAGGAAAATTCCGAAGTAATGTTAATGCTGAGTCAAGAACTGACAGGAAAGAATTAGAAAAACTTTTTCAATTTAAATATCATGGACAGCTTGATGGACGATAGCAAAAGATGTATTAGCGTCTAATAAATTCTCGATGTTTACTGACATTATTTGTTTAATGAAATGTTTAAAAGAAACTCATAATTCTTAGACTCTTTTTTTTTATACTTTATAGGTCGACGTTTGACCACCATCTCGCCTGATGGTAAGCGATGATGTGGCCGACGATGGAGCACGCCTACCTATGAGCAACCTGTTCACTCGGGACTTGAAGACACCCAAGTCATATTTGATGGGAAACACAGCCTCTGGCAACTACTCATTTAATTTTTACTATCTTAATTATATTTCTTTATAGGATAAGCCCGTAAACGAGCAGACAAATCACCTGATGGTAAGCAATCAGCATCGCCCATGGCCACCAAGCACACAAGTGGCGTTACAAGTGTGTTCTGGCCTTTTGGGGATTAGGAAAAAAATTAAATACCTAGAGGCAGTAAGTACCAAACTCCTTTGAAGAATTGGTTGCCGCCCGTCCAGCTGATTTAAGAAGAGCATAAATTAACTGCCACTGCGTTGACAGAGATGCATTGATGGCATGAGTGATTACTTCGATTAATACAAATAAAAAATACATGAAAAAAATCGTTTTCAAAATCACTTAACTCGGTGATTACAGGTTTCATCAAAAATAGTTAGCTAGCTTTAGATGTCACTTTAAACAGCTATTGCGCCAAAAAACATAATGAGTGCCATTATCATCCATAAAACATTATCTTGGTTTTTCACTTCTTCGAAGGATCTTTGCCAAGACTAAGTACTAACGAGCGAACACTAAGGCAAGGTTTCTAGTTAATAGCCACGAACAAAGTTAGTCCCGTTTATCGTCATACAGGCAAAGTTCAGGAGAAGGCTTATACGGTATAAAACGTGCCATTTTTACGAGGGATAAGTATAAACTACGACACATTGTACCTAATCCCTACTTTTTCAAACAACATTACAACACTAATGTAGTCTTTACACAAAATTATTGGTAGTAAACCTTTAAGTATACAGTAATGAGTTCCAATTTATAGATAACTTACACAAGATAAACTGCTCATGTATTCTGTTTAAGCCACTAACGAGATTCAGGGTTGGATTCCCAGGTCGACAAAATGGCCGGTCAGTCGAGTAACAAATGAGCTTGGTTTATTCATTTCTGAAAATGCGATTTATTTATACAAAGGAGAAGAAATAAATGTGTACGGTACATCAATTGCTCCTCGTAATGAGATCATTTTACATTTTTTGAACTGTTTCTTACACAAGATGTGCGAAATCACGCGAAATAAATTCCTCTGAAGCAATTGCATTAAATGTGAAAAAGAAAATATAAAATTCATGGCTCCATTTCAATTTATTCAATTTGATTAAAACATTATCAAAATGGAATGAAATAAAATCTTCCCTTAACATCACGCTGTATAGGGGCGCGTCAAGGCCCTGACAAAATTTCTTTTATCAGTACTTCCCTATCGCTAGCCAGAGCGACATTGTGCACAGTTAATAGGTATATCGGATACATAATTATATTAAAACTGTGAGGGTCATAATTGAACCAAATTAAATTAATAATTTTCTTCTAGCTTTAAGATTTTTTTAATTAAATCATAAAATGTCTTTGATAAATGAAAGCGATTACGAGAACAACTCGTTTTCTTTCTTCGGACCAGTTGGCATGGCGTTCTACGATGATGGCATGGTCTTGGAAGACACTTTCACAATCAAAATTGCGATCAGTGTAATTTTAGGGATATACATGATTGTGAGTGTGATTGGGAATGTTTGTACCCTGGTTGTGATCGCCCAGGATCGTACTATGCGACACCAACGAACTGCTACCTTGCCAACCTCGCAATTACAGACCTACTAACTGCTCTCTTCATCCCACTGGACATTTACATTATCTTTGTACCCGACTTCTATCCTCTAGGAGAGGTAGGGTGTCGAATACATTACGTTCTCTGGGACATTCTGAGTAACTGCAGCCTACTCATCATCACGGCCTTTACGATCGAACGGTACATAATAGTGATGAAACCTTTTTTTCGTCAAAAGCTGACGCTGAATTCTCGAGTCTTCAAAATCGTTGGTGTTATATGGCTCATATCATTGAGTTTTTGTATCCCTGACGTGTTCTACATCGACCTCTTGGAAAGAAAGGAATATGTGTTTTGTTACTATTCCTTGACAAAAATTGTGAGCATCGTGGTTGCTATCGAAGTTTTTGTATTCTTTTTAATACCAATGACTACGATTCTGATAATGTACATCAAAATAATGATAAAATTGAAGACGGCACAGAAGAAGCTACGAGGCAGCCCGGTTGTTGGAAAGCAGAACAGAGACAAGGCGGCGAAAATGATTGGTAAGTAAACTTATACAATTCTGCTTGTCTAGTTTCTTAATTAAAATTACAACTATCGTTAAGTTCCGAGAAAGCGGACTTTGAGATTATTTATAGCATGTTAATTAACAAAAGGGAAAATTCATTTTAATGCCTTCAGTAGTTGTTTCACAAAATGATGAGAAAATCCGGTCAAGAGCGACACGCGGAGTTGTTTCAAACAAGTAACAAGTTCATCAAAGTAATTTATTTTTAAGGGTTTTGTTTCGGTGTAAAATTTCCCAACGCGGAAACAACTTTTGGGAACAACTTTGTTTTAAGCAAACATAACGATAGAAAAAGACATGATTTTTTTCATCACATTGCTGTTGACATACCTAATAAAAACTTACCGCCGTACTCAAAGTCATTAAATGGTTCCTTAACCCCACCCTTAGTTAATGAAAGACAAATTTAAAATCATTTGTGTCAAGTTAAAGTGTGGGAGAGTCATGCTTCGGTACGAATGAGCTGGCTCGACCGGAGTGATACCACGACTTCACAGAGAACCGACGTGAAACAACGCTTGCGTTGTTTCACGTCGTGTGAGTGAGGTTACCAGAAGCCCAGTTCTTCCCCCTTCCCCAATCTCCCCAATCCTTGAATCGCCAACGATCCTCAAATTTTTAACCCCAAAAGGCTGCTAACGCAATTATAATGCCTCTGGTGTTCCAGGTGTCCATGGGCGACGCCGATTACTTACCGTCAGGTGATCCGCCTGTACATTTACCGGCTTATCCTATTAAAAAAATATATTGAACGTCAAACAAAAAAATTAAAAGTGTCAGTCTGTCGGCCAGTCTTCTCGTGAAGCTATTTTTTGCTTATTCCAAGGTGTAGATTTCTTCCTATGGAGACCTAGTTACTGAGAAATAGTTTAAGTACTTAACTATTAAATGTCTCTGAGTGAAGTAGTTATGCTTCAGTATCAGTTTTACAATACAGTACCTAATATCATCGCATTATTATATAACGAGTACAATTGAACAGACAAACATAGCAAATAATCCCTGTAATAATGATTTAATCATAAAAATGTGATACTTTGTTTCATAAATAAATTCTTCAGTTCTGATTTTATGAATAAAAGTTTTATGGAAGTGTTTGCAGTAACTGGTGTTTATTACTTTGCTTAACAGTCCGTGCGAGCTTTTGTAATGTATCTTGTGAACTTAAGTTAGCCTCCTTCTACGGACGCGCTTCTCGCTACGTTTCCTTCCGAGAAACAACTATAAGGATCTTACATTTAAAGCAACTATGCTCTAATGGAAAACTATACTGAAGTTAAACTTCACACGATTAATATTATAATACATTTATGGAGCGTGAGTTTTTTCAGTTTGTAAACATACATTTCAAAAATATTTATTTTTTGTATGATCTTTCTGGTCTGAGTGTGATAGATTCGGAGTCGCGACGTGCAGGAGAAGGAACGGGGTGGTTTTTAGTCAGTAAGAGTCTGACACTCCCTTCCGCCTCACCCAGGCGGGAGGAGTCATTCGATGATTTTCCCCCCTTAAAAAAAGGTGTATAGTTACACCTTTTTTTACAAATAACAACTATGTACAGTCCCGAAGAAAATCTTATCCTAGCTAGTGGTCTCATATAGTTAATGTTACGACAAAAACAAAAAATAACTAACTATATCGATATTGTTTTAGACTTAAGGAAGGGTCTAGACACTACGTCATAATATTTGGAAATGAAGAATAATAACACGATCCTTAATTAAGTCTCCAGGAGAAAGTATCTATTCTTATTCTAATGTGTTTATTATTTTATTCACAGCGGCCGTAGCAGCATCATTCTTTCTCTCATGGACACCCTACTGCATATTCCGTATCATGACAGTGTTCCCGAAATTTAAATATGAAGATTATTACAATGTAAGTATAAATATAAATTATACTCATGTGTAATTTAACATTAAACTTTGAAAAGAATTAACAACTCGCCTAAATAACTAATAACATAAAATTATCCAGTTCGTAAGATATTGTAGTATACACTATATTCCGTATAATTATCTTGGATTATAATAACATATTTAAACACGGAGAGGAATCTTCACTTGCCCTCATAATAGGACAGTTACAGGTCATAAGTCACCAAGGCCGAGTCTCTAGGGCCCTTTGCCAACTTTGATAATAGTATATTAATATTCATGAGCCGAAAATGCGCATATTGTGTTCAAATAATGCTTTGAAATTATACTTTGATACATTCGTCTTTCTAGTTTTATTTATTGAAACTAAAAGTTTATTAATATTTTGGCGAAATTACTAGAAGTTTATTTCAATATAGTGCTATAAAAATGTAATGTTTGTATCTATGTTTAGGTATAACATTTTCCTTAACATTACTTATCGAATTAAAAAATAGTCTCATTCTGCCAGTGCTAGATTATTATCATTCCCCAAAGTCACTGCACTTGTAATTCCTCTAGTGTCTAAGATGTCCATAGGTGACGCCGACTGCTCAGTGGTACATCTGCTCGTTTACCCTGTTCTGTAAAAAAAGACCTGTAATACTACATTTTATTCCGACGTGCACATCCCTGGAGCACTCGATCATTAAAACTCTTATTTAATATTACACGCTTAATCTCACAACATATCAACGTAGAGCAATAAAAATGTAAATTTTTAACAAGAAAAATACTTACATAGCGTATTTATATGTAAAATTTTAAAATATATTTCAGGTGTGGAAGATTGTCAACTACCTCTGTTATAATGGCTACATGTCTACAGCTGCGAACCCAATACTGTACAGTCTAATGTCTCGGAAATTTCGACAAGCGTTTAAAGTAAGTAAAGATTAACTTTGAACTTAGTGTTGAGTGGATCGATTCAACTTTACCGAGGGCGAAGTTGTTGATAGATTTCAAGATGCATAACTCAGCGAGGTCATTACTTAGGGAATGCTACCCGGGACTTATTCAGAAGTTTTCGAAAACCTCTATCGGATACTTATCTCACCAATTTAAGTAAATAGAATATTCTAAATTCCCTTTTTAGATAAATGTCGAACGTATCATTTTATGTTATTTACAAGTATTGCACTTCTGTAAGCTAGCAACAATTCGCTAGTAACAACTCACTAATACACAGCTTAGTTACTTTATTGGAATTAGCAACACAATTAATATTAATGCTTTAACTCTATAACTATCCAATTCTGAGAGCTTATGGATTACTAATATTACCTAAAACTGTGTTCTATATTGATCATATCGATACGTTGATTGCCAAAATTGTGAAATCATATATTTGTGGTGAATTGAAATGGTTGTTTATGTAAACAGTAATGACGTCACCTGTAAAAATAAATATAAATACTTATCTACACTAATTTAATAAAAAAGAACCCCGTCGATTCTACTGATGGCCGTCTTGAGGCAAGCTCGTCCATTTCCTTGCCCTGCAAAGCTGGCTCCACTAATAAACTATCGTAGTCAAGAATAGCTTCACAGACTACTTTTAAGTGAATATAAATCTGTCTGCATACAAGTGTTTGTCGTTGCCACCGTCCGGTCTGGTGCAGCTTTATGACCCGATAAAACACATCTGTGCTTTATTATATTTCATACGGCTATGTTGTCATATCACATTTTGTGCTGAAGAAGTAGTCAGACACATTTAGCTTAGTCTGAGATTGACCACAAGACAAGAATAATAAATAAAGTTATTATTCCGAGCTTAGTGTTCATACTTCGTAGACAAACCACTTTCAAATAGCATTGAAGAAATATAGGAAATTCAAAGCGTTGCTATGTGAATTGCCTTATGTAGACCAAATTAAAAGAATTTGTAATAAATGTACCCCTATGTATTAAAATATACATACACTAGCTGTTCCCGACGACTTCGTCCGCGTATAATAATGACATCTGCCAATTTTGGATTTTTTTAATTAGTATTTTCCAAGGTTAAATCCAATGCTGTGTAACAAATCTAATCAGAATCGATTCAGTACCTAATATTTATTGTGAAATTTTGTTCAGTTTCTGAAAGACTGCACGGTTGGCACGGTGGCCGGGCAACCGGCTGCCGAACAACGTGTCGCGGGTTCGATTCCCGCACGGAACAACTCTTTGTATGATCCACAGATAGTTGTTCCGGGTCTGGGTGTATGTGAACTTTTATCGTTGTGTGTAATCGCACTAACGATACAGGAGACAATCCTAATGTGAGGCAACGATTTAAAAAGAAATGTGGTTTAAAAAATTAACAATTCCACAGGAATTTTACTCGTATAGTATCGATTATCGTGAGCTTTCAGTGATTAAAACTCCATTTGAATTCCCATCAAATAGGTACAGCAGTTGTAGTCTGTCAGGCGTCATTTTCCGAGTCTCAAACTATGAGACCAGCCCCAGAAGTTTAACGCAGTTCTACAATTAGTTATTTCTTTTTCTCCCACCCTATCTCTAAAACAGGGACTGGAAGTTTGTATGGAGCATTCCGTAATTTACAAGAAACCTAAAATAGGTATTTATTATATTTGTGATCAGCAAAACATCAGGCACCAATTTTTTTTTATCCTTTGCAAACCTGTCCTCAATACTTTAAAAGAGCGCGAGCAGAACCGTGGGCAGAAGCTAGTCTATGAATAAAATATATTTAGTGGCGTTATTAATCTAAGTATTTAGTTAATTGAATTCGTATTCTTTTTTTATAATCCCTGATTCTGATGTAACTAAATACTGTTATGAGTCCTTAAAAACAGTTTCCTATTGGCAGTCAAAAATTTAAGCAATATAAGGAGATTTTTTGTGGATTTTTCGCGTTAAACGCATCGAGTTACATTATCGAAATGTTCACAAGGATATTTCATTCATTTCACAGGATAAGCCTATGTTCATCAATGATAAAGTAGGATTTCAATGGTAAAATAATTTTTCGAATTGGTCCTGTAGTTTCGGAGTCTATTCAATTCAAACAAGTAAAAAATCAAATCTTTCCTCTTTATACTATTAGTGTAGATATGTAAAGATCTAAAAATTACTCTCCTTAGACGACATCGTTTGTATCAAGCAATCGAAAAGTAACTACAACAATATAAATCGTTGTCGTCATTGCTATGAGCTGAAAGTGTCGGATCGCTACACTCTGTTCACATACCACGCCAGCTTTAAATTCAGTGATCGACAATTTTGTTGTTTCTCGGAACTAAATTTCAGTGCAACGTGCAACGCAGGCACTGGCACTTGGAAAATCGATGGCTTGATTTTTCGAATGAAACAACATCGTTGCTACAAAATTGACGATAGTTAAAAATCTGTAGGTAACACATGGTAATGTTAAGCCTGAAAGCATGCCTCAATTGAGCATTTGTCATCTTGTAGCATATGTGCCGGAATGTTGCTCAAAATTAGCACGTTCATTTGGGGCATGCTAGCGAATGGAAAGGCGATCGATTTTTTTTAAATATTTGTGCAAGGTCTATAGAGCGCTCTTTAGCATGCTATTTTAAAGCATGTGTAACAGTACCTTCAACGTGACCTGTAGTCCCTGCCTCGCTTCCCATATTATAATAGTTCCCGTACAAAAAAGTAAAAAAATAATAATAATGCACGTCGGTGCATCAAATAATAAAGAAAACAAGAACATTATTTCCGCATTATTTGTACTTAAAACTTTTATGTCCGCAAGTAAGTAACGTATAAAGGTGTTTCATATTCAATTCATTATATATAAAAATTAAATTGCAATCATAATGAAATTCGACGTTTTATAATATACAACTGATCATTCAATCTTCAGGTGCTGAAGGCAATTTCATGGTCGAATAGTTGCAGCTTTCAATTGATTTTGCTTCTTAAACATTCTTTAAATTAAATGTCTTTTAGGTACCAAATGCACATTGACTATGGATTAATTTTATGTACGATTGTTGTTAGTGCGTGCTTATTGTCTTTTTGAGTAACTTATATTAATATTATGACTTCAGTATATGATGTTCTAAGCCCGATATTTTGGTTTTAAAAGAGTATTTCTTTATTAGATAAAATTAAAGTTGTAAAAAATTGTTATTTACTTTAGTTTGCATCATACCGACCTCGGAACAATAACTAATAAACAGCATTCATATAAATAATCGACTATTAATAAGTATTTATTGAATGAAATGGAATGAATAGTGAAGTACCCACGGACGCGACACAGTCAAAGTTCAATTGGAAATCTGCCAAACGAGTAGCACGTAATGAACAGCCATTCCGAGTGGAAGCATTGTTAGTTGTTATAGGCTATTGTTCCGCGTCACACGGGATAACATCGGTAAGATTATTTAGAATAATCCTTGTGACATTTCATGCGTATTCCTCTAATCTATTACTAACATTTTCCTCATTTCAAAGAACGAGGGAAAAATTTAAATAAAACTACAATCAAAAGAAGTAGAATAAAAATTATTCAGGTGCCTAATGCGGAAACAGAAAGATACAAAAAGACATACACTATACACAAAACAACCTAGATACAAATAAATCCTAGCCATCCTAATGCCCTAAAAAGGGAGCCTTATTTTCAGAACTTATTTCCAGGTAACCGGGTATCACCGGGTACCTAATAAACCATAATTACATACAAATTTTTAAACAGTCGAAGAAGCAATCTTAGAACTAAATTTTTCACACGAGTACTTTGCAAAAGAAATTGGAACAGTTACAGGAATTGCTCGAAAGATTGGACATCATCTTTATAATAGACAAATTGTATTATAGAAATTCCAAGAATCACCATAAAAATAGTTCCGGGAAAATGTTGGATATGGGTAGAGAGTTTTATCCGCAATTTGATTACATAAACCCGTATATGATGGTCCACGTGTATGATCGTTGTAAACATGTTGAAAGTAAATGAAAATGTAATAACGGTTAGAACACGTGGCGTAATGTGGTTACAGCTCTCTCTCTTTAAAGTAACACAGCTTATAACATTGTGGCTCTATAATCTATAATGTAAACAGAATATTGAGAAACTCACGTAAAGCCTTTGCATTAGAAAAAAGGGGTTCATAGAAGTAGGAGTGCACAACATTTACTTCAGAATTCAAACTATTTTCATTAATAATGATTTAAATATAAAGCATCATCTAAACTTAGATTTTGATAATTATTACGTAAATACTAAACATGGATTGGTAAATGTTTTTTTTTAAATTTTGCTTTAAATAAATATAACTGTAATTACAAACCATAAAAAAATTAATGATGTATCAACAAGATTCTTCTGTACAAACCACATAAATTATATCTACACAATACAAGGCAATACCAAAATTATTTTTAACATATCTACATGCAAGTAAATGTATAGATGAGAAATACTTCCATTGATATAAATACATATATAGATGTGAAATTCCTTCGTTAGAACTGACTTTGACACAGGTATTATAATCGACAACACAGTTTAATGGAGACGCGGAAAGAAAGAAAAGAAAAATCAAACAAAAAATACGAAATTTTAAAGCACACATACGTGCTAGTTTAGTAATTTGGTAGTTCTGATTGGATGGTTTTCCGGGAGTATGGAATATTCACACTTTTTCCCGGATTATTTATTTATACATACGACATATCGATGGCGACATACGAAATCGCCTATGTGCGATTCGAAAGTGCGTATCACAATCATATGAGAACTAGGCCTATAAAGGGTTACACTATTAAAAAGACGCGCCACATCCTTCATGTGGTGTGGAGATCCTCCTATATGCTCACTGAGATGTACTTTTCAGTGCTCAGGCGCCAAAACTACTTATTCTATAGAAAAACTGCCTAGACATAAATTGTAGAAAAAAGTTAATACCTATAATAGTTTAATTTTATACAGAACGTTTTAATCTTGTAAAATACATAGGAAAACAGATATTGTAAAAAAAATGTGAAAACGGAATAAACATATTAAAATCTACAAAATTGGCTATTTTCCACACCTCTTGGAAAACTCACCTTCATATTTTTCCGCCTTCATGATCGAACTTGAAATCTTCTTGAAATTATTTGTCACTTTTATTACAAAGTGTACCCCAAAAGTAAGCTTTTTTCGACAGGAGTCAAAAAAGCTGAATAAAAAATAAATATTACGTTTTAAGTCTATGCGTAGAACATAATATATTCGATATGGTATCTTTATATATATAATTCTTCTGTGAGTGTGTATGTCACTGAACTTCTTTCAAACGACTGGACTGATTTTGATGAAATTTTTTGTGTGTGTTCAAGGGGATCAGGGAATGGTTTAGATTCACAAGAGAGCCCGCCAGATGGCGCTGCAGTCAGTATCTAGATTATTTATCTATACCTATTATATTATATTGTTGATCGAAGTATTATATGCAGGACAAAGTCTGTCGAGTCCGCTAGTATACGTATAATATTCGATTGTTCTAGCTAGTAATGACGTCCATGATTAGACTAGAAATTTGTTTTACCCCATAGAATGCGATTGTAAATAAAATACAGTGATCTCGGGAAATAATTATTGTTTTTTTTAACCGACTTAAATAAAAATAAGGTTTTATGAACATCTCGCGATTGGCTGAGCCGCCTTTGATGCGGTTTGCAGAAAAGTGTTTATTTCATTTAGGAGAAGGTTTTAGTATATTAAATTTACGATTTAGAAACAAGAGGACTTGAAGTCGGTTTTTTAAAACATAACATAACATCACGCCTTTTATCCCCGAAGGGGTAGGCAGAGGTGCACATAGAAGTAACACCCACTTTTCACTATTTATGTTATGAGTCCCATGTAATAGGGGGTGAGCCTCTTGCCATATACCGGGCACATTTCCAGACTCCGCGCTACTACTGAGAATTTTTTAAAACCCAGTTATACTTGCCCGACCCGGGAATCGACCACTCGGCCAACGAGGATTTTTAAAAATAGTGTATAAAATCATTATTCAATTTTAAAGTTAAACTCTAGAGTCACAGATAAGCCAATTAGCGTCACGTGAAATTGGAAATCCTGACGGTTAGTTTAGAGGATTTCCGATCCCGCCATGGTCTACCATGACAACGTAGATTACTAGCCACTGACATTCTGATAAAAATTCGATTTGTGTAAAGGTCAGTCGACCTCAAAGGGGATGAAAAAGTGTCAAGGACGAGATGAGGAGATAAATATTCTATTTCTAAGCCATAAATTTTGTGAGACGTAATCATTTTTCGAACTTAATGTCTTTCCTACCCATTCCTATAATCTACGGAATGTAGACAGATGCTATGAACAGAGTAAATAAAAATTGTTTTTTTTTTCAGGATTTGTTGAAGACGCCACGCGTTTTGAGCGGAAACAGCATAACACAAAAGACAACATCAACCCACGATTCAATAGTGTAATAAAAAAACATGGCCTTATTATTTCAAAATGAAATAAACGTATTGTGGCTATTATTGTAATGTTTGTATGCTATATAACATTAAATTAAATATAGCTATAATGTGTTTATTTATATGTATAAATAAAAGGATATATTAGAGTTTTATGTAAAATAAAGTAATGAACAATCATTGTGGATCTAGAAAATAAAACACATTTTTATTTGATTTTTATTTATTCGGTGTTAAATTGAACTTTTTTAATGGATATAATTTGAACTAAAAAGGTTTTACATCCTTTTTTAGAAAATGAGTATTGGCATACTACTATTAGAATACCTACCATTAAAACAAAAAAAAAGTATTTATCTAATGGCATCCTCAATTTTCTCGCACTAAAATAACCAGGATTATTGATAATTTTTTTACGAAAAGGTTTGCATTGTAAAGAGGGTTTACTTTGTAGCTGCTGCTTTTCTATTTTGTTTAATAATATTACGTAGGTACCAAAACAATGACAATGGAACATGCAATATTTTTAGTTTTATTTTATTTAAAAAAAAATCCACGTAAAATATTGCATAAATATATTAAAATTAAAATAATTTAATTTATCGTAAGTAATACGGTTTTAAAAGAACCGTTTACATTTTGAAAAAGTTATGCTAAACTACATTATAGTTCCAACCTTCCAACGACGTCATGTGTGGCAGTCTGTGCTTGCGTTCGTTGGCTGTCATATAGATTACGAAGGAGACTGGCAAACTTCCATAGTAACTAAATCCGGCCCTCACATATACTAATGAAATACTGAGGGTTCTCAAGGATTAATCTAATATTTACCACTGAGTAATTCGTTTTTTGATAGAACTCCGGAGATTCCAAATATTTCAGTTAGTTGTCAAGAAATCCTCCTAATATTTGTTCCTGCTCTTATTATAGATTTATTTAGATTGCTGACAACCTCTTTAGATACCTTAAAGGAAATTATCAAGTCAACAAAAAAAAAAAACAATTTTCTTCGTAAACTCACTTGTCAAAAAAACTCCGATGACAAATAAATCTATTTTTTTTTTTTTTTTTTTTTCTTCTATGGCAATTGAGTCTCCACTATTTAGTAGTTGACTATTCTGCCAGCGTCATGTGTTACGGCAGGTGTGGGCATTACAGATTATATATATAAATAGAAAAGGGACAAAAAATGGCATTGACATTTAAATTTAAAGCACATTCACTATATTATATTAGGTACTCTCATTATATATTAGATTTTAATATTATTTTTAATAATGAATTTTGCCAAAAGGTTAATGAGTTTAGGATAAAAATTGGTTAATAGTGAGCGAAAATTAATTGGGAGGGGAATTTTAATATTAGGGAGTTCTCTATAGAGGTCTAGATATTGGGAGTTTATGGAGCAAGAAAAAAATATATGTTCGAGGGTACCCTCATCAAGACCACATTCGCATACAGAGTTGTCACGAATGTGAATCTTGTACAAAAAAACTGGACTACTGCAGTGGCCGAGTCTAAGTCTACACAAGGACGTGACTGCTTGTTTTGGGATTTTACGAAATTTAAAAAACCAAGGTTTCCTCTGGATGCTAGGTTGGACGGAAGCGTAGTAAGCTCCTTTACGCTGTGAGGTACTTTTCCATATTGAAGACCACGTGTCATAGAGCTTTCGCTTTGTGTCGGCTCGGATATCATAGCCGGGTATAACAAAATGATGGCGTTCCACATCACCTGACGTAGCAAACTTAGCCAACGCATCAGCACATTCATTTCCGCGTATGCCAGAGTGGCCAGGGATCCAAACTATTTCGATATTAAGCCCTTCATTATGACAACACCAAAGGAGGTGTTTAATATCTACAACTAGCTGGCTATGGATTTTGGTGTGTAACTGATTTTGACCTAAAGATTGAATACTACTACGGGAATCTGAAAAAATTACAGAATTTTTAATATTATGACTTCTAATAAATTTCACAGCTTCCAAGATTGCAACGCATTCTCCCGTGAAAACTGAAGCCTCTGGCGGACACTTAAAAAGCATAGTTATTCTGGAGTTCTGAAAATATGTTGCCACCCCTGTACAACCCTCTTGAGTCAACTTTGACGCATCAGTGTAGAACACATTCCAGCCCTTCCAATACACTTCCAGTGCCCGCTCAAAGTTTCCAACAATGTTTGCCGAAGATTTTGAAAGACCTAACCCCAGAACAAGTTTCGGTTTAAAATGGATGGCTTCGTATGCAGAAGAGAATACAGGGAGAATTGGGAATTGACTGACAGAGGCCGAAAGATTTTTAAGCTCTCTGTATCTGACAATCACTGGGGGTATAGGTTTGTGGAGCCAGTATGGAGAGGAATCATAGGAGAGGAGAATTTGATCCAAAATGGGAAGTAGAGGATGGGATGATCGGGAGAGGACTTTTGATATGAAACGATCTGCGAGGTACTGCCGACGAAGATCAAGAGGTGGTTCAGCACATTCCACTTGTAGGGCATTTACGGGTGATGATTTCATTGCTCCAATAATAGTCCTAAGGCATTTGGCTTGGATATAATCTAGCTTTCGCAGTGCTCCCTTGTTACAAGGTATAATCAGGAAACAGCAGTAATCCAACACACTCCTAACCAAAGCGTTATAGACTAACTTTAAAGTGTATGGGTGTGCACCCCACCATACCCCGGCTAAAGCTTGGAGGATACATACGGTGCGTTCAATTTTTTTAGTTACCGAATCAATGTGATCCACACCTGACATCTTGGAATCGAGGGTAACTCCTAGAAATTTGGCCTTCGCCTTAATGGGAATAATCTGACCGTTAATACTTATATTTAGATCTGGGGTACGACGTCTACGTGTAAACACAACAGCAGAGCTCTTTGGAGCACTCAAAGATAGTCCATGATCAAGTAGCCATTGGTTTAATGAAGCCAAAGAGACATTCACAGAGAAAGTGGCATCGACTATAGAATGACTAGTGACCATCAGTGCAATATCGTCAGCATACTGGAGAGATTTACAATCAAAGTTTAGGCAGGAAGGGAGATCAAAGGTATATATGTTGTATAGGATAGGACTGAGAACTGATCCCTGAGGTAAGCCCCTCCAGGCAATTCGCCGTGCAGGGCTCTCCTCAGGAGTTCTTAATTGAAGGGTGCGATTGGTAAGAAGGCAGCAAATAATTCGTATAATCCCACTCGGAATTTTCAGCTTTTGCATTTTCCGCCTGAGAAGGGGTAGAAGTACAGAATCATATGCTGAAGAGATATCCAGGAAGACTGCCACCAACGACTCATCCCTGCAAAGAGCCAGCCGGATCGCTGAAGTGAGGGTACCCACACTATCAACAGTGCCTAAACCTTTTCTGAAACCGAACTGAGTCGCCGGAAGCATCTCCCGGCTCTCTACCAACCACTCTAGACGGTTCTTTATTAAATGTTCAAAGATTTTGAGGAGTATGGACGACAATGCAATCGGTCTATAAGACAAGTGATCTCTAGAGTCTTTGCCAGGTTTTAATATAGGCATAATAACCTGAACCTTCCATGCTGTGGGAATGTAACCGGAAGTGAAACAAAAATTGGCCAAGGTAAGGTAGTACCACCGTGTTTTAGCCCCGCTTTTCGTTATAAATGAGTACGGGAAACCATCTATACCGGGAGCAGAGTCCTTGACGTGGTTCAGAACTGTTTCAAGTTCTTCCATAGAGAATGTTACGTCAAGAGGATCACAAGAACATAACAAGTCCCCTATTTCGCACTCTTCCTCTTCAGGGACATATGAGGGAGCAACGTTTGAGAAAAAACTATGGTACAGATCTTCTGATAGCATGGAAACAGAAGGTGGTCTTGTGCAGTTTCTGAAACTCTTGACTTTTCGCCAGACAGTTGTTACTGGAGTCGATGGACTCAAAGCATTACAAAAATTCCGCCAGCCTTGCTTTTTCTTTTTTTTAATAATTTCCTTGACCTTGCCAATGCTTGTTTGAAAGATATGAGATTGCCCAGGCTCATGTCACGGTTATACGTCTTTTCAGCTTCATTCCTGGCCTTAATTACGGCAGTGCAATCACTATCCCACCACGGCGGGAGGGCAATTTTACCTTTCGGTGGAATTTTAGTCGGGAAGCAATCTGCAGCAGTGGTAGATATTATTTCCGAGAAGCTAGAGAAACACTCTGATGCGTTCTCAGCATGAATAGGTGGAAGGGAAGAGATACGGAAATCCAGTAGTCTGGAATAAAGATCCCAGTCTGCTGATTCTAAGCGATATTTTAACAATGGAGGAAGGGATTTATCAAGCGTGGGATTGGAGTGGTTTGTGACTATGATGGGATAGTGGTCACTACCATAGGACATATCCAAGCGCCTCCAGTCCGTCATGCTAGCTATGTTGGGAGAACAAAAGGTCAAGTCGACACAGCTGTTCCTTTGACCGAATGCAGACCTACGTGTAGCACTGCCATCATTAATGATACATAGATTAAGCTCGTCTATGATCTCTAATAATTCTGTGCCTATACTGTCACACATGTCTGAACCCCATCTATAATGATGACAATTAAAATCACCCATTACTAGTAATGGGCCACTAACAGTATTTAGAAAATGTTTAATTGACTGTAAATGACTAATGTGTGGGCGTGCAATATAAAAAGCAAAAATGTTTATATCCTTAGCCTTAACAGCAACAGCATTAATGTCATCACTAACAAAGGGTAAAGATATAATAGAGTACTGTACTTTGCTATTAATAAACAAAGCACAGCCTCCATAACCATCTGGTCTATCATACCTGACACTGTTAAAACCCGGCACCCGGAAATTAGAATCCGGTCTAAGCCACGTCTCAGCAATGCCACATACCAGAGGTTTGTATCTATTTATTAAATGGACTAGGTCAGTTTTCTTCGGAAGAATACTCCTCGCGTTCCATTGAAGGAATGTTAGGGGATGGAATGTTACCAAGATATTGTAGGATGTTGGTCAGTTTGTCGGCAACGTGGTCAGGTATGTTATGTGAAGGATTTTCTAATACTGCCATAAGCATATTAGTGA